TGTGACTGTTTTCTCTCTCTTTCTCTCTCCCTTCCTCTCTCTCTCCCTCCCTCCCTTCCTCCCTCCCTCCCTCCCTCCCTCCCTCCCTCCCTCCCTCCCTCCCTCCCTCCCTCCCCCCCCCTTTCTCTCTTCTCTCTCTCTCTCTCTCTCTCTCTCTCTCTCTCTCTCTCTCTCTCTCTCTCTCTCTCTCTCTCTCTCTCTCTCTCTCTCTCTCTCTTTCTCTCTTTCTCTCTTTCTCTCTCTCACCCTCCTCCATATCCTCTTACTCAAGGTACCGAGTACATTCCCGCGTTCACTCCCCAACTTGTCCAAAACATGTTACACAAGTGATAATCACACCTATAAAACACGCAGATAATTTCCTCATTACCAAGCACCCACGGCGTTCATTACAAGCTACAGTTGACGCCCATGGAGTGCAATAAGAAAGGTAAATAATTCTAAAAAGAAACATAAAAGAAAAACGAAGAACTCAGGAACAATGCCATGGCTAAACATCTACGTTGTGTCACATTCCTATGCGTTTATGTGTTCGATTTTCGCACGCGCGTGCTTTGTTATGGCGCGGGGAGGTTAGTTTAGGTGAGCCGCGGTTTGTCATCGCGTTGTGTAATGTTGGGTTTTGTTGGCGAGATCTACGTGTAATGGCTATGCAACTTGTGATTGCAGCTGTTATGCGTGTCGGGCAATAGTTGCTTCTGTGCTTGTGCTTGGAGAACGGCTCAAGGGAGTAAGATGGATGAATGCTTAGGGGGAATGTGAACAAGGCTATCTCTCACTGTCTCTGTCTGTCTCTCTCTCTCTCTCTCTCTCTCTCTCTCTCTCTCTCTCTCTCTCTCTCTCTCTCTCTCTCCTCTCTCTCTCTCTCTCCCTCTCCCTCTCCCTCTCCCTCCCTCCCTCCCTCCCTCCCTCCCTCACTCCCTCCCTCCCTCTCTCTCTCTCTCTCTCTCTCTCTCTCTCTCTCTCTCTCTCTCTCTCTCTCTTTATATATATATATATATATATATATATATATATATATATATATATATATATATATATATATATATATGTATATATATATATATATATATATATATATATATATATATATATATATATATATATATATGTATATATATATATATGTATATATTTTTTTTTAAAAATCAAAACGAAATATTGATTACGAATGATGACCAAACTCTTATTTCAACATCCCAAACCCTTTTGAAAATCGGTGGAAATTCATGAGCGACTTGTAATGAAGAAACGGACTTTCCCGCTGTTATCTGTCCTCTCGCATTCACTCTATCCTCCACTTACTTGTCTATATAAAAAAAAAAATTGTTTTTTATTATTTTCTTGTCCTTGAAGACGTCCGTATTTCCGGTTTTTCTTCGGTCTATATCAAGATAGGTTCTGGAGATTAGGAATGATGACGAATGTGGGTATAGAGAGAGAAAAAAAAACAAACAAATGTGAGGATAAAGGAAGTGGGAGAGAGAAGGTAAACGTGGTGTAATAAAGACGCGCCGGTAAGGGAGGAATGAAGAGAAGGGAGGAATACGAGAGTGACTTGGAGATTAAATAAGGAAAGGTGATAAACAGACGTGAAATAGGAATAGGAGAGAGAGAGAGAGAAAGGGAGAGGGAGAGAGAGGGAGAGGGAGAGAGAGGGAGAGGGAGAGAGAGGGAGAGGGAGAGAGAGGGAGAGGGAGAGAGAGGGAGAGGGAGAGAGAGGGAGAGGGAGAGAGAGGGAGAGGGAGAGAGAGGGAGAGAGAGGGAGAGAGAGGGAGAGAGAGGAGAGAGAGAGAGAGAGAGAGAGAGAGAGAGAGAGAGAGAGAGAGAGAGAAAGAAAGATAAGAGAGAAAAAGAAAGAAATATATATATATATATATATATATATATTATATATATATATATATATATATATATATATATATATATATATATATATATATATATATATATATAGTGAGAGAGAAAGAGGTGGGGGAGAGGGAAAGCGGAGGAAGTGTACGTAACAGGGAAAGAAGCGGCGCTCGAGCGCAGCTGATCCGCGGGTGGGCGTGACCTGCTCTGAATAATTGCCTCTCCGTCTGGTAAGACCCGACGCCCTCTTCGCCCTCGTTGTCTCACCGCCCACGATGTCACCGCTGGAGGGACGTCACGACTGAAAGGATGTCACCGCTGGAGGGACGTCGACGCTGCGCTGCTGGAGGGACGTCGCCGCGAGAGCACAGTCTCAAGCAGGCGCAAGGGCCGAGTGTCACGCCCCAACATCCCATTGTCTTTCGGCCGAGAAGGACAGCTGACAAGGACGCCGGGCACGTCGCCTCCTTCTTGCTGACAGTCTCGGCGCCAGCTCTCCTTGTCAGCAAAGGGCAAGAGAAGGCGACGGGGAAGGAGTATGGCGTTCACTCTATTCTATTTAGAGTTTTGCCGTGAGACGAACATCTACGTGTAAGATGAAAGAGAGAGAGAGAGAGAGAGAGAGAGAGAGAGAGAGAGAGAGAGA